CTCCACTACTAACCCTGTGTTCTCCATGTGCCATAGGACAGCACAGGCCAGGTCGGTCTCTCCTGCATGTGGCCTCCTGACACTCAGTGTCAGCTCTTTCCTGTTGGGACTTGAATCATGAAGGCCTCCCTGTCCTCTATTTGGGACATTTGCTGAACCTCGAGGCTTTCTGAGTGCAGAAACTGGTCCCCCTTTTGTCAATGGGGAGCCTAGCACAAGGGTGGATCCTTTGTAGGTCCATGTGTGGGTCTGAGTTCACCTCAACTAGATGTTTTAAGAATGTTTTTTACATCCTGAGAGGGCTTACAGATGTCCATTGTTATCCAAACTGGTAAGTCTACACTTAAGACTAGTGCATGCTATTGTGTGTTTATATTGCACACAATTTGGGAGAAAGTGTACTGATACCTCCACTTGACTTTGAAATGTGTCAGAAAATAAGGTAGAGCCCTAGCCGGCTTGGCTCAGTGGATAGAGTGTCAGCCTGCGGACTGAGGGGTCCCAGGTTCGATTCCGGCCAAGGGCATATACCTGGGTTGCTGGCTCCATCCCCAGTAGGGGTGTGCAGGAGGCAGCTGATCAATGATTCTCTCTCATCATTGATGTTTCTCTCTCTCCTTCTCCCTTCCTCTCTGAAATAAATAAAGAAATATATTTTTAAAAAATAAGGTAGATTCATACATAAATAGTGGGATCCTTATGCGAGAAAATGAGTAACGTGGATGTTAATGAGAGAATCTAAATGGTGCATATGTGGAAATCTTTCAAATTTGTGTATGTTTAAAAAATTTTTCATAATCAAATGTTGGGGGGAAAGAATGTTCTAACTCTATGCTGCTCAAAAAATGGCCTTTTAAAATTTCAGATGGCAAGGCTTTTTCTTTACTTTTTTTGGATAATGACACCGTCCCCTTTATTAATGGTAAAGCTAATGGGAAGGTGCAGCTCAGTGTGAGGGTGAAGCGGACCAGATAACTGAAGGGTGGAATTGGGTACATTTCTCCCCCAGTTGCAGACAGAGCTGACCTGGGTGTGTCTCCCCACGACAGGGCCTAACCAGGTAAGAATGATAGCACAGCAGAGGGTCGGGGAGAGCAGACAGCTCTTAGCTCCCTCCCAAGTGGAGAAAGACAAGGAGAAATTTTCCAGTTTTATACAAGGTAATGATGAACCCAACTTTGTGTAAAGTTAAATAACTACACAACTTCAAAACTTTCCCACCTTAAAGTACCTATTATTGAAGCTGTCAAAAGCAAGACATTGGCATAGCCCAAGGCATGGATTTCTAGAATATGTTCTGTGTTCATGTAGGCTTTCAGAATACTTCAGTCTGAATCAAACTTTCCATTTACTTAGACTATGCATTTCTCAATATTTCAATTTTTCTTTTCTTTTTCTCCTTTCAGGTCATTGTTCGAGGCGGAGGACACATTTTACCCTATGACCAGCCTCTGAGATCTTTCGACATGATCAATCGATTCATTTTTGATAAAGGGTGGGATCCTTATTGATGGATAAGCTGCTTTTCTCAAAGAGTATGTCAAGGGTTGGAATCTTTAATAAGAAAATTTTCAAAATGGAAAATGTCATACAAATAAGAAAACTATCTTTTTCTATCTGCAAAATGTTTCTCATCAATAAAAATTACCCTTGAAATGATAAGTGAGGTTCTGTTATGTTTCATTACAAAATTAACTTTCAGGAAATGCTGTGGATGAGTGCGAATTATATCTTTTAACTTAAAAGGTGGAAAGAATCTGCAGCAAGAACAAGCTTTGACTTTTTAAATTTAAATCAGGCACTGATTCAGATACATATGTATAAATGGGATGATGGGACCTTGAAAAGGAGTTTTTAATTTCTCCTAAGAGTATGTTAAAAGTACAATAAATGAATAGAGCTGTAACAACATCTTGTTCTATAAATAATAGAGTTTCCTCAGATCACACATATGCAGGGGTTTGGTGAATATTATTGGATAAGAGTAGCTGAATTATTACCCCAAAGGAACAGGTGAAATTAAAACAGTGGTGGGGAAGAGATTCTGGAATGTAGAAAGTCTTAGCATGAAAGGTAGCTTGGAATTCCTTGAAACGGAAATCTCAGATATCAAAGTAATGATGTACCAACTGATGATAAGCAAAGGATCTTAGAGGTCATACTGAATCTTTGCCTTTCCCTTTTTTCTCTTTAATTTGTTGATTTGTTTGAGGTGTACACCTTTACCAGCAGGCCAGCCACGTTACTTATGAGCCATTTCTAATTTGGGTGGTAAAGTCTGTATGTCTGTTAGGCAAATAAACAATGACCTAATTTTGTATAATTGTTGAAATACCAAAAAAAATTGAGATAATCTGGCATCACAATATATTTATAAATAGCATACATTAGTAATTTTCCAACTAAAATATCACATCTGGGCCCATCTTTCCTACTTACGCAGCATGTGCTCATATCTTTGAAATTCTACAGCGTGTTTAGCTTTTTCCACATCGTTACCCTCTCATATTACCCATCTACGATTTGGCTCTCTGGAGAACTAAATTTAAAAAGTCAAAGCTTGTTCTTGCTGCAGATACTTTATTGAGTTGTTTTAATATTTCATTTTGTGCCTTATTTCATTCAGGTTTTGATCTTCCTTTGGGTTTTTTTTTTTATACACATATTTCATTGGTCCCATCTACTACAAATCATCAAGTCAAACATTGTGATCAAAAGCAGCTTTAATTATTGCAAGGGAAAAAAACACTGGAGTGGGATGGAGGAGTGTGCAAAAACGTTTACATAGAGCCCCATCAGCAAGTTAAAACAGTTGTATTTGGTCCCACAAATATGTGGTAGAAAGGGTACCAGCTGTGCCTGAGAGACCTGGGATTTAGCTCTGATGTCACACATGCACTGATGTTTTTGGATAAGGCCTTTGCAGTACTAGCCTCCCAGAGTCCCCGAGAAGGTAGCCAGGAGAGGAGATTGCTGGGGTTCGCATGCCATTGTAATAGGACCTATTTTAAAAGGATGCCACGACATGATATAGTCAATCTTCATTATTCATGGATTCCATATGTGTACTCACCTATTCGCTGAAAATGTACTTGTAATACCCAAATCAATACTTGGTGTCATCCAGAAACATGTGTAGAATGACAAAAACTTTGAGTCATCCATATGCATGTTGTCAGCTGAGGTCAAGTGAGGTCACACTCTGCCTTCTCATGGCAGCTCTCCTACTGGGAACATAGCCTTTTTTTTGGTACATTTAGTGCCACATTTTCACGTTTTTGCTTTTTGTTGGTGATTTTGCTGTTTGAAAGGCTCCTAAGCATAGCGCTGAATTTAAGTGGCCTTAAAATTTGTGCTAACAATATAGTATGCTTTCATTTAGAAGGAAGGGAGAAAAGTAGGGCTGAAGGAAGGGAGGGAGGGAGACACAAAGGATTTGTAAAGAATAGAGTGTCTTTTTTAAAATATATTTTTATTTATTTCAGAGAGAGAAGGGAAAGGGAGAGACAGAAACATCAGCGATGAGAGACAATCATTAATCTTCTGCCTCCTTACACGTCCTACACTAGGGATTGAGCCTGCAACCTGGACATGTGCCCTGATCAGGAATGGAATCGAACTATGTCCTCCTGGTTCACAGGTCCTGAGACATGCCGGCTTGGACAAGAATAATGTGTCTTTAGAAAGATAAATAAAAACTAATAACAATAAGAGAGAAGGGATTGGGTATTACAGGCATGGGTGGAAAGGAGACTTTATTGGCAAAGTCTATTTTGATGTTCATAGTTTTGTGTTTATATTTTATACGAGTATATGTATACATATACATATGTAACTAAATGAAATCTGGCCCCAGAATCTCAGAGAAAGAACTTCCCTCTGGCTCACTGTGTGTGGAAGCGGAGCCCTGAGGACAGGCCCTGAGGGACTGTCTGCTTGGCAGAATGCCCGAAGGAGAGTGCTTGGGTCCCTGAGCAGCTGAGCAGTAGAGGTGAGGATGCCAGAAGTTTGAGGAAAGGAGGGGTTAGAGGAGGTAAGAGAGGGAGAGTCTGACCACATGTTGGCTGTGACCAGAGAAATTTAGAATTCTGTGGAATCTGGGATTAGAAGCAAGGTCAGCACTGGTCTCCCAATGCCACTACGCAGTAAGCAGGGCAGTAAGCTGAATGCTGTCTGAATTGTGTGGAGGCCAGGCCCAGGGAGCTGATCTTACCTTGGGATCGCAATGGCAAAGAGGCAGAAAAGTGCTTCTACTGCAATGGGCTGTCTGCTGGGAGGCCCCTGGGGAAGGTCTAGAAGGCTCAGCCTTGACCTGGGAGGCTGCTCCCACAGGGTGAAACCAGCCTTCCCTCAGGGTTCGTTTCAGGTATAAATACCTGATTCTGTGAAATCAAAGGTAATAATATCAGCTCTCCTTTCAATTTCCCTAAAACGTGCCACATGTCCACCAAACATTACCAGGTAGATGGTTTCCCCATTTCACAGATGAGGTCCTGGAACTTCACAGATACAAGGACACTTGCCTGGGTTTCTACAGCCAATGGCAGAGCCAGTTCCCATGCAAAAGCAGGCGTCTCTCCTCAAACCCCATCCTCTTCCCACGGAGGAGAAGGACACTGCCTCCCCACCCTGAAGCTCTCTCTCACCTGATGACATCCAGGGGTCAGTATCGGTGACCCCCACCTGGGGCTTGGGTGTGCACCATCATGAAAAATGTGCTTCATTTTGAAAGTTGTGTAAAGCAGATTCTTAGAAACTTCTAGACGCAGTATCTGCCCCACCCCAGAGGAGCTCATTTAAATTGGAAGTGTGACTCTCTGGAAAGTACCGAGAGCTTTCATTTAATTACTGATTGATGTGAAGCTCCAAAGTTGTCTTTTCTCATGCCACCCAAAACCTGATCCACAAGGCCAGAAACCAAGACCTGAGGTCCGGTGACCAACGGCTTGACGTGCCCCCAATTTACTTTGGAAAGTCCGGCATTCTCTTTCTTCGTGGGAATGGCAGGATCCCCACCTACCGGTACTGCTGCTGACACGTGGGCCATGGCGGTGTCGGTCTTTATGCCAGGTAAGCCTCTGGTTCTAAGCGCAGAAACTAGTTCATGCTCCATGAGGAGCCTCTGGGGGCTGACTGCAGGCCGGCCAGGCTGGCTGCAAAGATGACTGGAGGCTGGTTCCACTTCAGCCTCACGGGAAGTTTGTGCCCTGGGATGAAATGCGGCTCCCAGCACAGATGTGCTTACGTTTTCCTGCACACTGTAGCGGTCATTGCTGTAATCATTGTGAAGATTTAAAAAACATTCAGAAAGCCAACCTGAAAGTGATGGATTTTGTTGCCCCGAAGACACCGAAACCTAGGAATTGAAAGCAGGCCGTGATGGTTTATATCCGCTTGATCCCAAGGAAAGACATCTGTTCAATCATTTTAAAGGGATTTTTGGCAAGTTCGGGAGTGTGACGTGGGGCCTTCTGCATTCCCCCGGGCTCTGTGCACTGGAGAGGCCCGGCCTCTGGCTGCTGTTCAAATGGATTTCACAGGAAAATTCATTGTATCCAGCCAGATCTTTGGGGTAAATCTCAATCTTTTTCTTAAATCTTTAATTTGCAAATTGTACATTGCAAAAATTAAGTGAACCTTCCCCCCGCCCCCACCAACCCCATACCGTACCCAGTGGTGACCACTGATAACTCATGCCAGACTAAGGGAGGGTGGGTGACCTTTGAACTCAGCACCACCAAGACTGCACTCAATGGAGAGAGACAATTACCCTCCCGGTAAGTGCCCCAGGGTGTGTGACTAGAGGAAAGGGGGCCTGGATGCCACTGGGCAGTCAACACACATTCACCATGTGAGGAAGTCCAGGCTCAGTAAAGACCAAAGCAGCCTCCACATTTAGACGACGTGCAGCAGGAATCCACATTGGTAACTTCCCTCATTCCCCAACGAATATTTATAACCAAAACTCACTTGTACATCTAGTAATTTTCACTGCTCCTTTAAGTTTTCTTACATGAATAAAAGGGGATAAAGGAAGTAAGCGTCTGAAAGAATTGAGGAGTGGGTGGAGGGTGTTGTGTAAAGAGAATAGAAAACTCAGATGAACAGAAAGTCCCCTGGGTCCCTGGCCCCTGGTCACCATCTTCCATGAGGATGGGCTACATTAACCCTCCTGTGTGACAGGATCTGTTCTTGGTGCTAAAGACACAGAGACAAATTTAGTCCACTCCCTGCCCCCAAGACTCTCTGGTGGGAGTCTAGTGGGAGGAGGGGGCTGTGTGACGGGAAGGTGGGTGGCCACGGTGATAACTGTAATCCCAGAGTGCCACCTGTTTGCAGGAAGGAAGGGACAAAGCAATTTGAGAGCTGAGAATGTTACTCCCAGGAGGAGGGAAGAAGGCTGGAGACTTTGCAGAGGCAAAGACTAGCATGACCAAGGCCTGGATCGTGAGCGGCAGTGTGCTGGGGGGACAGCAAGGCTCTGGGCACTCCTGCGTCTGCCTCCTCTCCTCTTACCGCTGACTGTTCAATTATTTTGTTGCAAAATCTGAATTCTCAAATGATTGCCGGAAACTTCTGTAGTGAGGATCAACACTCCCACATCCATCTGATTTGAATAAACCCCTAAGGACCATGCTTAGTTTTCCCATCTTGTCTCAGAGGAGTCAGGGAAGGATGCAGAAGGCTATGTTTCTGTACGTTCATCCGCCACATGGCTTTGGTGGCACGTGCCATGGCGTTCCTTTATTAAATTCCCCACACCCTATGCAGCGACATATTGGGACAGCTGTCATTTACCAATGGCCCATCTGCCCCAAGAAAAGAAACATTTATTAAGGAGGTCACTTTGAAATGCTTCCATAGTATGACTCACTGGAGGGAAATGTCAAAGGCTTCTGGGCAAAAACAAACAAAAGTGAAAAAATATGTTGATTTATTTTTTTTAAAAAGACTCGGAGTGAGTACACTGGAAATGGAGGCTGATCTTGGACAGGATGGAGGGAATAGCGGGGAGGGATTTTGTTTAGTCAAATGAGGTAGTTTATTCAGGTGAAATTCCACTTGAATGTATTTTCCTTGGTAGAGGCGTGAGGGACGGAGGACAAGGGATCTCTAGCAAGACACGGCTCCCGCAACTGAGCCCCGTATGGCCCCAAAAGGCCTTCGTACATATTAGTCTAAAGCCTAAGAACAGGCCTTAAAGAACTCTAGTTTCTTACCGAATGAGAAATGGACTTCTCTTTTGGCCTCAAACGTAACCAAGTTCCATGTAGCTTTGCTTCTAGAACATATTCTTCCCTTGCTGGCTGGTCAGAGAGAAGGGAAAGACATACTACTCCAGGAGCACGAGATTCTGAAGTCCAATTCCAAGTGTTCTGTGATTTCCAACTCTTGGGTGGAAAACATCTTTTCTCTCCTTGGGCTGGAGTGAAGCAAAAAGAGTTGATAGTCACATATTCAATACAGAAACATTACAAGGTCAAGAAAAAGAATTTAAGAATCCAGTGTTAGTAGGATACAGCCAGTTATGAAAACTGATGTCAGGTGGTATAAAAGTACCTGCACCAACAATTCCCACAGAATGGTCTTTTAGAGAAGGCTAAGGATGCAGAGGTTTGTGTTCTCTGCTTCTCACTCCACACAAACCCCTAAGTGCCCAACAGAGGTACTTTCAAATAAAGAGATCAGATCCAGAGACAGGAGAGGAGTGGGGAAACTTGAAAAAGACCCAAAGGCGGAAAATAGAGATGGGTTCCTGAATCACCAGAGGGCAGCGCATGGTGCACCCCCCAAACAGTGTGGTGGACTTCAGGTGCCCATCCCAGACAGTGTGTGGATGTCATGTGCCCACGCCAGAGAGTGTGTGGGTTTCAGGTGCCCATCCATCTCTCCAGCTCCAGCCGCAGATGCAACAACAGCCTTGAAGTCCTGGGTGCCATAGGTCTTTGCGATGAGATGTTTGATGAGCTGTTTCTCCCCCTGTGCCGGAAGCCACTGAGTAAAAAACCACTTGACATTGGGAGTAGAGAGCAGGTAATGAACTTCTTTCTCTGGGAACGGAAGTTCAACATCAGGAAGACAGCTTGGGAGTCGGGAACGTTGTCAATGAAAAGTTGCTGCTTTCCTACGTTTACTATGTTGAATTGATTCTGGCCTCTTAATAAATTCCCAAAAAAGCAAAATCCCAAATGAATGGCCTAACAATAGGTAAGGAAGAGAGAATTTACTAGCAGAAACCAGAGAGAATGATAAAATCAGATATGCCTCAAACTAGATATATAATGTAAAGGCTATTTCTTCTTACATCTGTCTGGACAGATTTCAGAAAACCACCATCAAAGGATTCTGTATTTATTGGAGAGAAAACTTGAGGTTGCATGGGTCTGCTATTTTGTTCCTCGGGAATTGACTCTTTTCATGTTCCCCAGGAATTGAGTCTTTTCATGTTCCCCAGTCCAGCTGTTTCAAATTGTGTCCACTCGCAAGCTCCAATAGGACACACTGACTGCTCCCCTTAATCTCAGCAAGTGGCCTTGTTTCCTACTTACTGAGACAAAGCAATCTGACACTAGATTCCTTGGTTTTCCTCCTGCACACCAATATACTGAGGCGGCATCATTACCCATATTTCTTCCTATCACGGGAAGGTTATGACCTCTCTTCTGAGCCTCCTGCTCACAGCTCCAACCTTGCTGATGGAAATTCAAATTCATCGTGACTAGATTGGTCACCTTTCCCCCAAACCAGCCGCTTCTCTTGGTTTTCCCTTGCCTTCTGAGAACACCCCATTCTCACCACCCTCATCTTTCTCTTGCCCTTCTCATGATCAACCAGGGGTCAGATCCTGTTTGTTCTGCTTCAGCAATATCTTTCGCATCTCTCTTCTGTCCCTTCCTATTTCCAGACAATGCGTGGCCTGCGGAAACTTCTCCCCGCTTCTAGCCTTCCCATCACCAATCCCAAACCATTAATCCACGCTAGACCATGTTGCTGTTTCATTTTCTAATACACAACTCAAATCTATTCACTCTATGAAGCACTGGCTGCCAAGTTAACATCTAAACATGCTGGCTTCGAAGGCTTGTCACAAACTGACTCCAACCTACTTTGGGGGGACTTCTTTTCCCACTGCTCAAATATATCCAGTCAGAGGAGATGATTTGCCCTCAGTCATATACCATCTCCAGTTTCTCTTTGCTCCTGCCTCTCTTTCCATCCATCTCACGTGATGAAATGAAAGATGGCCTAGCCTTCCAGGCTCATTCAAAATGCAAGATGCCGTAAGCCTTCCTCTACCATGGTTTCTCTCTCTCACCCCTGCCTCAATAGAATCCCTGACTTATCTGCATGTTCTGTCTCACTTCTGCTCTCCTCCAAACCCCGTTCTTCCCTTGGGCTCTGGCTTTCAGAAAAGAAAAAAAGCACACATTTCTGCCTCGTATCAGAGTTATTTGAAGTTTTCCTTGTTTGTTCCCTATCTGAGCAGGTAGCTGACCCCACATCACTTGCGACAGGGAGGTACGTGAGAGGATAAGAAGCAGAAGGAGTCTGGCTTTTCTTTTCTGAAAGCCAGAGCCCAGGGGAAGAATAGGGTTGGAGGAGAGCTTACTTAGTAGCTTGGGAAAACAGGGGAGAAACACCAGTTTGGAGGAAGAAGCAAGTTCTTCAGGTTCCACTTCCTGACAGGGGCCATGTGGGGGTAAGACCCCAGAGAGGAAGACCTCTGGTGTGGAGATCTGGGGAGCTGAGGCCATAAGCACTGACATACCCGCCTTACTCAGAAGCAACAGATGGCCACCAGGAGTGAAGGGACAGGGGGACAGTCACAATGTGATGGGCTGGTCAGCAGAGGACCTTCTCCAAAGCTCCTGTCACTGCATAAGACTCTTGGAACCTTGACACAGCCCTCTGGCCAGGCTGGGTGGGGGGATGGAGCGCAGAGCATAACTGAGATGAAATCTCTCACTGGCCCAGTAGGGTGACGTGAAAAATAAAACAATTGTAGAAAATAGACACTATATTTCTTGTCATCTGAATTTGTGGGTTGATATTCATTCTTGAAATATTTA